TTATTTATTTGGCAGAGAGAGACATAGCGAGAGAGGGAACACAAGCAGGGGGAGTTGGAGAGGGAGAAGCAGGCCTCCCCGCGGAGCAGGGAGCCCGATGTAAGGCTCAATCCCAGGACCCTGGGATCAGGCCCGAGCTGAAGGCAGACACTTAATGACTGAGCCACCCAGGCGCCCCTGGTTCTCTCATTTTAAAGCCCCATGTAATAAATTGAGCCCCCACGAATAGAAAATAATCTCCCTGTCTCAAGGTCTTTATCTGGAAAGTCCCTTTTGCCATGTAAGGTACCATATTCACAAATTCTGCAGATTAGGATATAGGCATCTTTGAGGGTTAGGGGCATTATTCTAACCACCACACTATTTTTTATGACTGCATTGGGCTACAGATACTCTAATAGTGGCTTTAGAGTTTTGTATTTGTTAGATAACCAAACATCTTATGTAGCAACAAACAGGCAGTTGCTAGCACTGATTCAGCTGTTCAACAACGCCACCAGGACTCAGGCCTTTTCTTTTTCCACTCTGCCATCTTCCATGCCTTGGCTTTTGTTTTTGCCTACAGGTTTATTGTTTCAGGATGGCTGCTGCCTTGTCAGATTATCATAATTATCTTCGAGGCAGACAGAAGAGGGAAAAGGGGTGTACCAGACGCTGTCACTGTGCTCTGCCCAAATCCCCTAGTTCTTATCACTTCAATGTACAGTGGCCAGACCTCCAACTGCGAATACCTACATTTCTATGCCCAAGGGTTTTCTTTAGCCGCTTGAGCAAGTAGTCTACTTTGCTGCCCACAACCTCTCCTCTGGCAACAAACAATGATTAAGGAGAGTAGATGTAAATATCCAACCTTCCTTGTTCCTTGCGTAGGATGAGTTTGTTTGTTTGCTTGTTTTTTGGGTAGGATGATTTTCAGGCACATGTTTTCTATTGGTTTGTAGAATTTACCAGGGGAATTAGGCTCTAGTTACTTAAGAGTAATTTAAGAGTTACTTAATCCTAAGGGATTACAGGGTTTGATAATGGATCTTGTATTGGATACTTACTCTCCCACTTCCTATCTCACTTCTCTACTATCCTACCAATGTTTCTTGGGGTGACATCAAAATAAAACTATTTCCACTTGTGTCCTCATCTCAGGATCTGCTTTGTAGGGAATTGAAACCAAGACAGGACATCATCTCCTTTCCTCCTTTTTTCTGTCTTTAAAGCAGACAGTTGGTGCTATAATGGCTAGTTTACAACTAAGAGGTGACAAGCCAAAATTTAGACAGTGAAATGGAAAGGAACAAAAACTTAGGTCCATATCCTTAAGCCACTGTACCAGCCCTGGATTGGATTGTCTACTGCCTGTTTGTTACAAGAGAAAAATAAGTCCTATTTGTTTAGGCCATTTTAAATTCAAAAATTGTTTACTTGCAGTCCAATGTGTCCCCAATACAAATAAACAGAAATAATTATAGAGAATAGTAAGAGCTATGAAAGAAATGAAGAGTACTATAATAGAATATTCTATTTAAAAAATTTTATTTATTATATCGACAGAGAAAGAGAACACGTGAGCAAACAGGGTGCTGATCAGCAGGCAGAGGGAGAGGGAGCAGACTCCCTGCTGAACAGGGAGCCCTATGTGGGGCTTGATCCCAGGACCCAGGATCATGACCTGAACTGAAGGCAGATGCTTAACCAACTGAGCCACCCGGGTGCCCCTATAATAGAATATTCTAGGGGAGGGGAGTTATTTTTTGAGATGATGTTTAAGTTGAAACTGTGAGGATAAGAGGTTAGCTATTTCAAAATTAAGACAGCATGTGCTAGGAAGAAACAACATTCACCAAGACCTAGAGCAGGAAAAGATTTTATGTTTGAAAGCAGACCAGTGTGGCTGAAATGTAACAAGAGTGAGGTTAAAAACCAGAGAGGTTGGGCAAGGCCCAAGTAGAGTTTATTCTAAATACAACAGGAAGAGGGTGTCTGGCTGGCTCAGTTGTTAAGAGCATGGGACTCTTGATCTCAGGGTCGTGAGTTTGAGCCCCACATCAGGTGTAGAGATTACTTAAATAAATACATATGTAAATGCAACGGGAATTATTGAAGGGTTTTTGTCAGCGAAGTGATATAATCCAATTTATTTATAAAAATAATCACTCTAGCAAGTTAAGAACCAAGCAGCGGTTTGCTGAGCTTATGTACAAACAATTGGGCTGGGTGCTGTGAAAAGAATAAAATAGCATACTTGCCTTCTAATAATGGTCCTATGTTCCACAAAACAGTGACAAGCGTGGGTGTGAGGGATAAGAGTAAATTCTGCAATAACTCTGGCCTCTGATAGTAACAAGCGGGCTTTAATTCCAAACTCGAGAAAAAAACCCTATGTTCAATAATAACAACCAGAATGTTAAGGGCAAATAATTTCACCAGCAATATTAGTTTTCCAAAGTTGTTTATGGTGAGGCTGGTTTTCAGGTAAGCAGCTAGGAATATATGACATATGTATTACGAACTCAAGAATTAGAAATTTCATAGATTATATAATTTTACTCAAAGCATGATTCTACCACTAGATGGTGACATGGATACAAAATATTGAAAACAGTCTTTTAGCTATTAAAGGTGTATAGTGATTGTTGATTACTGGTTGGAAATTCAGATTTTAAGAATCTAGGGATATTTTAGCAGAGATTTTGCCTCATCACACTATTTATTAAAGAGAGGGAAAACGTAAAAAAAAAAAAAAAGAGGGAGAGAGCACACATGCATGATGGGGAGGGCAAGAATCTTAAGTGGACTCCCTGCTGAGCATGGAGCCTGACCGTGGGCTCTATCCCACAACCCTGAGATCATGACTTGATTGGAAATCAAGAGTCCACACTCAACTGACTGAGCCACCCAGGTGCTGCCCTCCCCAACTTTTTAAAAGATTTTATTTATTTGGGGGGGGAGGGCACAGAGGGAGAGTGAGTTAGAGAATCAGACTTCCCACTGAGCAGAGAGCTTGAAGTGGGGCTCAATCCTAGGACGCTGAGATCATGACCTGAGCTGAAGGCAGATGCTTAACCGACTTGAGCCACCCAGGAGCCTCCCCTGCCCTCCCCTTTATAAAAGATTTTGAGAGAGAGCATGAGAAGAGGAGCCAGGAGAGGGAGAAGGCTCCTTGCTTGAGCCTGGCGTAAGGCTCGATCCCAAGACCCTGGAATCATGACCTGGGCCGAAGGCAAAAGCTTAACCTACTGAGCCACCCAGGTGTCCTGCCACCTCCCTTTTTTAAAGTAGGTTTCACACATTGTGGAGCCCAATGTAGGGCCTGAACTCACGACCAGGAGATCAAGACCTGAGCTGAGATCAAGAGTTGGATACCCAGCCGGCTGAGTCACCCAGGTGCCCCATCATCATACTTTTAGAATGTACATCTTTTAATTAGCAATAATCGCGCCTCGGATAAACCTCATTGGCTACGATACTGCCACTGCGCAAAGCTAGAATGTACATCTTTTAAATGTATGAAAAGGTCTTGTTGATACATATACTAAATCAGCACAGAAGAGTTAAGAGTCTAGTTAGGAGGCAGGTAGCCTTGTTTTTCATTGTCTCCTATGCCTTTGTGTTAACAAGCAGTTGAAGTAGATAAAGCGTTAGTAAACTACAGTGCACAGGCCAGATCTGGCAATTAAATGTTTTTGTATGGTTTGTGTGCTAAGAATGGTTTTATATATATATAAATATATATTTTTAAACTTTTCATTTTTTTTCTATTATTTATTTAGGAGGGAGAGAGAGAACAAGAGTGGGGGTGTGTGTGTGTGTGTATGTGTAAGGGGCAGAGGCAGAATCAGACTCCCCACTGAGCAGGGAGCCCATGTGGGGCTCGATACCAGGACCCTGAGATCATGACCTGAGCCAAAGGCAGATGCTTAATGACTGAGCCACACAGGCACCCTGGTTTTATATTTTTAAATAGTTGAAAATATCAAAAGAAAAATAGTATTTTGTGACATGTGAAAATATTAATTTCAAATTTCAGTGTCTATAAGTTTTATTGGAACACAGCCACACTTTTTCCATTATGTACCGTCTATAGTTGTTTTTGTTCTAACAGAGTTCAGTAGTTGTGATAGAAAGTTGGGGCACCTAGAGAGCCTAAAATATTTACTTTCTGGCCCTCTACAGGAAGTTTGTTGAGTTCTGAAGTGCTGACTAAAGAGTAATGATCATTTATGACAATAATACTCTAGATTCTCAAAGCATTTTATTTTATTCTTTTAAAAGATTTGAGAGAGCACAAGTGGAAGAGGCAGAGAGAATCTCACAGATTCCACACTAAGCACAGAGCCTGATGTAGGGCTTCATCTCATGACCCTGAGATCACCAGCTGAGCTGAGCCGAAACCAAGAGTCAGATGCCTAAAGACTGCACCACCCAGGTGCCCCTCAGAGAATTTTAAATCAAGTATCATTTCACATAACTTTGTAAAGGAAAAAAAAAAAAACTAGGAAGCAATTATTAAAAAATTTTCTTTAAAGATCAGACTGTGTCAGGGCGCTTGGGTGGCTCAGTTTGGTTAAGCGTCTGCCTTTGGCTCAGGTCATGATCCCAGGGTCCTGGGATGGAGTCCCACATCGGGCTCCCTGCTCAGCGGGAAGCCTGTTTCTCCCTCCTACACTCCCTCTGTGTTCCTGCTCTCACTCTGTCAAATAAATAAATAAAATCTTTAAAAAAAAAAGATCAGACTGTGTCTTCAATATATCCTAGAAGTACTCCACATGTATGGTAATAGTTGTCCTCACTTTCTGTATCAGCAATGTGTTTGGCCACAAGTAATGGAAACAGTGGCTTAAGGAAAATGCGACAGACAAGCAATCTGGGGGGGACTGCTGTTCTAGGATGTATCAGAGACCCACCACACCTTATTTTTCTGCATTATCAACTTCATAGTTAGCTTTTATCCTGTTTATAGTTTCACTGTAAAAAGCAAAAACAAACGCTAGACAACAGATGCTGTATTACTTTGTAAATCAAAACTATGTTTCAGACAGAAAGAAGGGTTAAGGGTAATGACTACTGAATTTGTCCCCCTTTTTTAGTAATGGGCAATTCTTTCCAAAAGATCCACTCTGCAGATTTCTGGTCACATTTCACTGGCAAGGACTCAAACACAGGTTCACCCCTACTATGATTGTTTTAAACCAGTAGCAAATATTCCTTGGGGCTTTCCTTCTGGAATTCAAAATCTCTAGCTGCCACCTGAAAAACAAAACAAAATTTGGATTTGGCAAGTTTCCCTGTTGGTAGTTAAGAGGGGTGGGTGGGAATGGATGCTGGATGGTCAAGGAGAAAAGTCAAGTCTGCAGAAACCCAAGTTTTATAGTAAAGATGGAAAAGGAAGATTAAATAGAGTATCTCCACAGCTCTGAAGGATCACCTGCTCCTATGGAGCACTGTAAAACAGGTGGGCAGAAACTATACCATCAAGTTCAAGCAGCAGAAAGGTAAACAATACCGGCAAGGTGGTCCTGGCATGGAAAGATGGTGGGACAGAACCTCCATAAAATCTTTTAAAAGAATTACTACAGGGTCTGAATAGCTGCTCCGGTTATAGTTCTAAGATTAGGTACACTCCCTTTTGGACTGTTCGGTCACATCTCCATAAAAACATACTAGATATAGAAATCAGTGAGGATAGGAGAAAAATTTTCCTAATGTTAACTAGTTGTTAACCAACTTGAGCTGAAGTGTCCCCTTTCCTTCACCTGTTCATTTTGTCCCTATCTTAATACCCTGGCGATTTGCTCTTCGCTGAGAAGCATAATATGCTATTTCAGGTGAAGAGCTGAGGACCGGTAATTGGTGCAGGGCCCTCTCGCGTAAAAGGGAGGAGATGCCATGTGAACGCTCTTCACTCCGCCATTTCTTGTCACATCAAGGTGTCTTACTGCTCGAGGACGGATGAGCCTTACAGAATCGAGGGTAGCGATCAACACAGATGCAGGTTACGCCGCCCCTGGGCTGTTCCATTCTCACAAAGGCCCGCGGGGAGAGGGCCGTGTGCCCCAACTCGGGCTGCAGGGTCGCTCCGGCCCGGCTCCCCTTTGAACCCCTGCCTCCCCCACCCCAAAAACCCGAGAGCGGGGAGGGAGAAATCGCCACCAATCCCTCTTCGTGGGCCCGGAGGAAAAATGGCGAAGCGCAAGGGCGGGGAACAGGGCGGCGCGAGTGACCCGGCGCTCGCTAAACCTCGCAGCCCGCGAAGTGGAACGCGGTGGGCGACGCCGCGCAACCGCGGGCCGCTCGGTGTCTCCGCCATCTTCTCCTACTCACCCGGACTCCCCCCGCAGCCGCGCTGGCTTCGTGTTTCCCTTCCGGCCGCTGACAGAGATCCGGGCTGGGCGGGGTGGGCGAGCGCGCCGAGGGGGTGGACCGAGGGCGGGGAGGCCGGACGGAAGAGGAAAGGGAGGGCGGTGAGCCGGCCGCGGCGGGGTGTGGAGCGTGCGGCGTGTGTGCGGAGGGAAAGGTGGGAGGGCGGGAGGCGAAGAGAGGCAGGGAGGCGGAGGAATGAGAGCGCGAGGCGTTTCTCGTCGGCTCCTTCGCTCGGGCGGAAAAAGCCGAGCGCAGCCCGAACGCTCTATTAAAATGGCGGCGGCGTCAGCGGTGGCCGCGGCGTCTGGTCGGTGAAGTGACTCTGCTGCTTCTCTCCCCACCCGCCCCCTCCCTCCCTCTCCCCTCCCCCCGTCCTTCCCCCCCTTCCCCGCCGCCCGCGCCTCCGCGCCCCTCCGGCCGGCGCACCTCCCCTCGCCCCCCTCCTCTCCCCCGCCCGCTCCGGGGACCGCCGGCCCCCTCCCCCATACTCCTGCTCTCCGCCCCGTCCCCGCCGCCGCCCGCCCTCGTTGCCTCCCCGCCCCGCCGGCCGGCCGGCCCCCTCCTCCGCCTCTCTCCCCTCCCCCCCGCCGGTCGGGATCAGTCAGTGCGATCCGAAGCGGGGGAGGGGGGGGGCGGCGGCCGAACGATGTGCGAGAACTGCGCAGACCTGGTGGAGGTGTTAAATGAAAGTAAGTAGACGCGGCGGCGGCCTGTGGGGGTGCACAGTTTGGGGGCCCCGCGCAGCTCCCCGGGCTGCCGAGGCCTGCGGGAGGCGACGGCCAAGCCGGGTGGCGTGCGGGCCTAGCGCCCAGGGAAGGTGCGCGGTGGCGCGGCCGCCGCGGCGCCTCGGGCCCAACCCGGCCCGGTTACCTGGGCGCCCGAGAGGGGGCCGCTCCGGAGCTCCGGCCAGGCCGCGCCTGGGCGGTCTCACCTCTCGGAAAGTTTCCTCATTACAGGTGTCAATTAACGAAGGCACTAATGAGCCTTCGCCTCCTTCGTCCTGCGGGGAAGGTGAAGGGAGGTGGGGTCCGAGGACGAAGCTTTCCTCCGCAGTCCGAACCCTTCGGCCCTCCGGCCGCCCTCTTTGATTTTCAGCGTGCTGCTGAGGAGGCCTCTTTTACCTGCTAATTTTCATTAAACTCCCTGGGAGGAGGTTGGTGGTTTTCCCCTCCCTTGGGGGTGTGTGGGTGTATTAAACCTTTCTGCCAGCCCTGAAATAGCTGAAAATGAACGGTGATAGTCATGATTGGAACCTTCATACCTATTTTTTTTTTAATTAATAGTGTTTCTTCTTAGTGTACCATTCGTCGTTTTAATAGTAAATTTTATTAAGGAGAGCACTGTACTACAAATAATCATCCCGGGATAGTCATGGCCTGTCTCCTGGAATGAAAGGCCTTATTCCTTACACTTTTGATTATTAAAGAGCGTACACTGATTTTTTTTGGGGGGGGGGCAGATTCTTTTATTTCCGACCCTTGTAAGATAGTATTTGAACCTAAAGAAACAAGCTGTATTGCAAGTTCACTGTTTCTGGGCCCAAAGGCCTAGTTGTTTGAGGTGCATTAGATCAAAGATTACAAAAACTTGATTGTTGAGAAAATGCTCATTTACGAACTGCTTATGTGGGTTTTGGATTTATGTTGGGATATTTCCCAAAACTTCCAAACTACCTCTTTTCTAATATTCTTTAAGGCAGTGGGTTTATAAAATGTATCATCTTGTTTGTGTTTGAATTTTACTTGATTATTTATATGCTTGAATTTCACTTCAATAACCCAAGGCAGTAATAAAAGTGGAATAGTTCTAGGTTACTTTGAACTGTGAGTTTACTTTCTGACAGGTGGAAGCAGGTTTTGCACTTATTCAAACTGGACTTTCCAATGTTTATGTTATTCTAAATTTTCCTAGAATTTTAAGGTTATTTGTATTTATATTGAGATACTTTTGGTGCAGGTGTTTTATGATACGGTGATTAGGTAAAGTCCTTGGTACTTACTTCAGTGAACTATTTTAGTATCTCAGATGTAAGTTGTGTGATTATGGTTTTATTAAATTGGGAAAAGAATATCTTTGCTCTCTAATAGAAGAAAAAAACTGCTTTTAGTAATTTTTTGGTGTTTCAAGTTATTTTAAACTCAACTAGAAAAACTACCTTTAAACAGTATCTAAAGAAACTAAAGTTTGTTAATCTCTAATCTTTTGAAAAGAGATGATGAAAGTTCTTACTGAAAATTCTTTGGGAAACCCCTAGAACTTTGTTTAGAAGCACTCAAAAATGCAGTGGATTTATGGAAACAAAAATGTAGAGAATCTTGAAGTAGAATTTGGCTTTTATTACCTTTAATTATATACAGTTAGTGGAACCAGTTTCACAAAATTTGGCCATGCAGACCCTCTAAGAAACCTGTCTTAATGAACAAATACTAAGGATTTTCTATTTGTGTATAAGCCGGTGGTCTTTAAAAATACTTAGGACAATTTCTTAATATTTCCTTTAAGGCTCAGTTTAAAAATTTGCCTCCTAGACGTTAATCTCACAATGATGCTTCCTTTTTTTTTAATTACTTAGCAATTTTATTGGTAGGTTATACCAAACAATTACAAGTTGATTTTTTTTTTCCCTGTAGACTGAAAATTGTTTTCATTGTTCTTTTCTATAGTTCTTGTATCCCAAACATAAGAGGCTTAAGTTTCTTGAGAACAGAGGGTCTTACTTTATCTCATTATAGTAACATTTATCCATGACTGGGTAGAATCATGATGGTTGGAACTTGATAAAACCTGTTGAAGTAGGTTATAGGTCTTTCTTGAAATCTCGCTCACAATAACTATTAAGTCTATACCAAAAACCTATTTCTTGTCAAATTTACCAACAGTGATGAAACTTAAAAGAAGTCTGCCTGGACACACCATTGTTACATAAAAATTTTGTGCTTTGAGTGAAAGGGTAGACATAATGCGGATAGTACTGCTTTCTATCTGATATGCACAGAGGGTTTGATAACGGTAGGGACTTCAAATATTTATTTAAAATTCTGGCAGACCGTAATTTGGTTAAAATAAAAGTTGGTAACAAAAGATTGTAAATAGTCTGCTGTTGTCATCAGTTTTTGATGAGAGAATTAATATTACCATTTATACCTCTAGTCCTGCTGAGAATCTGAAGCTGTGCACTCTCACCATGGAAACATACAGGTATACAGGCACAGTTTTGCCTGCAGTTTAAGGACCCGTTGAAGCCTGTCCAAGGAACCAGGCTAAGAACCCCATAATAAGGACCCCCACATCCCCTTTTTAAATAGTCTTCACAGATATCCTAAAACTTAAAATTACATTTTAAAATAATGTTTGGCTTTAGTGTTAGAATAACCAATCTCAACAATAACTAACATTTAAGTTTCTCTTTTCCTTTCAGTGCTTTATTTTTTTAATAAGGACATTTTAAAGGCTTGGGTTGTATTTAGTTGATTTGTTTACTATCAGTTTGTGGGTTTGCATTCAGTTTAGGAATGTATTGAGTTAATTTGGCTACTATCAGTTTGTGGGTTTGCATTCAGTTTAGGAAATAGTTTTAAGTGTATATTCCTTTGTTTATTCTGTTGAATTTGTATATTTGCAGCTTTTCTAGCTATTTTTTGTAACCAGTTTACTAAGTCCAGAGCATTTCTGGGTGTTGAGAAGTTGGAGGCCTGAAGTTTTGCTTTGGGCCATCAGCATAGCTATCTCAGTAGTAAGTTGAAGTCATTATTTGCCTCAGTAAAGTAAATTTCTATGAGAGAAGACTGAAATGGCTTTAAATGTAGATGTTATTCTATGGGTGTGTTTAGTGAATTACAGTTTACCAAATGTAGCATTTAAACAAAGACTATTTATTTGTCCCTCCTCATTATCCTTGAAGATGGGCAGGAGCAAGTATTGGTATCTAAGTTTTAGAGGTAAAGAAATTGGAATCTCAGAAAGGCTAAATGGTTTGCCAGGTAAAGATCACCTGTCACTTGCTTAGCTAGTAGTCCTATCTAAGCTTGAACTCAGGATACTGTGATAACAGTATTTGCAGAATAATTGTTTGCATTATTTTTAAAGCAGAATACTTGAGTGAGCAGTTTGTGTTGAGTACTTTATCAACTCTTTGAGGTAGGTACTCTGTCACCCTTTTCAGATAAGAGAACCAAGATTTAGGGTTTATATAACTTGCTTAGAGTCACATGACTATATTTGGTGGAGCCAGGATTTGAACAGGACTTAATCTCAGGTCAGGCTAAAAAGGCCATGCTCTTACTAGTTATGCTATGCTGTGTAAACTTTATGATGATCTGTTTGAATGGAAGACATTGTGAATATACTGTTTGACAGAATAAAAAATTAGTATTTTTTTTTGTATTTTCACAACTTCAGGCATAATGCCATTGTAACTGTAGTAGGAATTTAAGAGCGGTTGTCTTTAAGTAGCTGAATGGAATCTAAATATTGTTAGCAATGAGTCCTTTAATAAACCATGCATTTCTGGAGGGTTTTTTTGATTGTAAGTATATAGGCACTAATTAATTAAATCATTAGTAACAGTATTTTTTGGTTGACCTATAATTCTAAAATTTTAAGTGATTCCTAAAATTGGAAATCTGATTTTACAGTACAAAGTCCCAAATTACGAATTTTTACTTGGTGATCTAGTTAAGTATCACTTAACCAATTAATATTTGAAGTAGTATTCATGATTTCAGTTCATATATTTTTATAGTATAACTTAGTAACCATAAAGCACTACCAACATGGAGTAATTATGTAAGTTATCTGCATTGTAGTGATAACTGTTAATGAGCTTTAGCACTGTATTCATGAAACATGTTAACATTCTTGTATGTTTAATGATAGTATCTATCTGATTTAAAAGTATTTCTAATGTGTAGATAGTGTGTATTAATAATAATTTTTACACTTTCAGAAAGAGAAAGAAACTTTCCAATAATGGCTTGACCGAGGTGTGACAGACCCTAGCTAAAGGGGTTGAGCCGCCTTTCTCTTTTTTACTTTAATTTTTTCTTAATTATAAAGGTTGTATATTCTCATTGTAGAGATACTGAAAACTGTAAATCTAATCATCCAGTGATGATTCCTGTTGATGCTTTGAAATATTTTTGGTACACATTTACATTTCTAAGAATGAGATACATGTAGTTTAATATCTAGCTGCACCTAATGTTTAATGTTTCTAGTTTCACCTAATGTTTTGTTTGCTCATTTTCCTTAGTAACCTTTTTGAAAACATACTTTTTGTGTCATAGTATTTCATTTTGTACAAGATTTAATATTTTTCTATTGTATGTTTGTTTCCAGTT